CTTGACCAAAAAAGAAAAAAGAAAATCTAACTCCTATAACTGATAACCAATTGCTAAAGAAAATAATTTTCTCTTAAAGCAACAGACTATATAAGCAGAAAACATCTAGTGAATAGAAAAGCCCTAGAAGCAATATTAAAAATGAGAACTAAGGTACACTAACAATAGCATCAAAAACACTGTTCTACAAATTCTCACCATGACAGTATGGAGGGAAAAAAAGAATATGTAAAGCTTTCATCTCCATCTTAAAAATCACCACAAACTGTTAGTCTGCTATACCTCCTAAGCATAGGGTATTAGTAAAAAGAAAAACTTTGCTCAAAACTTTCTCCCAGCTTATCTTTATAAATAAACACACAAATAAATGAATGAACAAACAAATAAACATAATAACAGACCAAGGAAAGTCAAGTACCAAGCTAGTTTTGGATCTGTTTGAAGGAATAAAGATTATATACAAAATTAGCCTGAAGCCAATACATTTTATTGTTTGCTTGAAGGTTCTTTCTTCCAAATCCCAAGGAATCAATACTACAGTGCAGTTACCTGGCTTCTGTAAATGAGGGCTCTCCCTACTTTTTACAGAGGCAAAAAGCTATTAACAAGTCAATTAATATATATATACATATATATATATACACCCACACACATACACACATACACACACACACACATATTAGAGAGAGAGAGAGTGTGCGCATTAACTAGGTGAGGCATGGGAACCACTGCTAGGAGTAAAATTATAAACAAAAAAAATTATAGCCAGTCATGAAGCTAGTAAAGTAACTGGCATTTTTTTTTTCAAGGAAGGCAGTACTTGTTTGTGAGTATTTTTTTTTTTAATCAACATACTTGTGGCTGTAGCCTCTTTTCTATCCTGTGAGGCTGAAGCTACTAAAGTTACTGAAACAATTTTCTCAAGAAACTTGGTGGTTTTTAAAATACACAGAATTTCATTAGCCAAAAGTCATACCCACAAATCTTTCAGGGCAATCTCTTATTTGACCCTTGCTGAGATGCCAGTAGGCTATGTTTAAAATTCCTAGAGTTTCTCTAGTTGACTTAGGTCCATGTAAGCATACCCAATAGACTTACTACACAATCATATACCCTGCCTTTTTGGTCTACAAGAGATTTTTAATAAAAAGTTGTATAGCTTCACTCTCATGGTTTTCTCTAAAGCACACTTTGAAAAGTAATTTTTCTTTTGACAAGAGCTCATAGCAAGAATTTTCCTAAATCAAGTCTTGATATCTGTCACAAGTTTTCCCTCAATTTCTTTCTCTCTTTCTCTCTACCCCGCTCCCCATCTTTTTCTCTCCTCTACCTCCCCCCCCCCGCCTACATCTGTCTCTTTCTTTCTCTCTTTTTTGCAATTTACCATCAAGCAGAAAGGGAAAAAAAAAATCAGGTCACACTTCCTTGGAAATCTGAACTAAATATACGTTAATCACTGAGATTTTGAAGGAGAATGTTCTGTTCAGCTTTCACTCCCTGGACAGCAAGGGAGCACTTCCTCCAGTTTCAAATTACATGTTCCTCACTCACTCCTGAGCTTTCACTAGCAGTATCTCCACTTGTGGGGTAACAGTTTCCTTATCCAAATGTTTTAGTTATTATGGGCAATTACTCTATGACATTATTCAATACTTCTTTACCATTTTTCCTTTTCCAGTTTCAAGATCTTTTCTCTGGGCATTAAGTTTTTTTTCTTGCTTCTTTTAAAAATTTATCTGAATACAAAGAACTTTCAAGATAACTCATCCTTTCCACAGCAACAACCAATTTTCTTTGTTGGGTCAAATAAAGGCGTATATCCACTGTCTGTCTTGCTAATAGCCCTGGGTATCACTCTACTTTTGTATTCTAGTCTTTAATTTCATCATATCAAACCACTCCCATGTCTAATACTTATATCCTTTTCATTACACTGTTTTCAAGGAAAGTATTTTGAGAATATGATGCAATTTTCACACAAAATGTAATCTCAGGTATTTACTTTGTTCCAATATTGTGATTTTCTTCTTCATATGTGCAGTAAATTAATTCAAAGTCTTTGAAAGATCTGTATAGATATTTTTAGGAATGGTATTTTGGCCAAATATTCTTTAATAACTATCTTAATTTTCCCCATTCATGTGACTGTTGAGCACATTAGAACTTTATAAATATGGAAAGCACAGTATTAGATACATTATAATCAAATAATAGTATAATGCAATAAATGAGTTTTTGTTTCTATGCTATTTATATTACTAAGAAAATCTGATGCTAGGATAGCAACCAGTTCCTGAGCACACACTCACTCACTGTGTGTTCTCTCACTGCACTACTCCACTGGCCAAAATTGTTCTTTTCAAGATTTCTTTTAAGAAAAGGGTGCTCCAATGATATTTAAGATAATATAATAAAATTTTGATTATTAATGTATTTCATGAAATACTGTATTTTCCTTTACTTTTGGCTATATATATCTTTATTCTCAAAATTTTAAAAAGGTATCAATCAGCAAATGAAATAGCCATTTGTATATGTATGTGTATATAGCTATATAAATATAACTGTATGTATATGTGTCTAAATAAGAAGATCTACACATACATAATTAGTCTTCAAATTGCTTTACACTGTTATTTCAAAACTCATGCAAAAATTTAACATTGTTGAGAATACCAGTCATACTAATTCATGGATATAACAAATTAGTGTATTATGTCATAAGATTTTGAGTATGGTACCACAGCCCAACGCAGACTCTATCCTGATTGATACAGTGTCTGTACAAAGAAATGGAGAGATTCCCACACATGGAGCATGGGAAGGTGGACAAGGAATGACAGGATTCTCTCCCTTCTGCACTGGCAAAGTTCCACCAAAGCAATAGAGAAGTCTTGAGCTTAATGCAGAGCTGGGACTGGGGAGAGATGCACTGCTGATATGGGCAGATCCCTAGAACTGGGGACAAAATCTTTTGTCTATCTTCCTTCACCACGAGCAGCCAAATACCCAAGAAAACTAGAATCTTCCAAATGTCTCCTCTATCCTTGTAGCCAATGGATGAAATCTTCCACTTTGAGAAAACAGAGCAAGTTTCACCCAGAAAGCAGGTCCTATTCCTTGGCATTTTAAGGATAATCACTGCCACGTAAGTTTCTAGTCATCCTAGAAATTTCATTCAGAGGAGTTATTCCAAAATCTCTTACTCCTACTATAGTTGTTTACCACAGCCCAAATTTATGTTCTCAGACAGCAAACTAATACTAATCGCATTCCAGATCTGGTCTATGTGCTCCCTCCCTCCCATATAAGGTAGACAGAACCTGGAGTTAGCTGGGAAAATGTGAACTGTTATATTTCTTTATTTCTTCTTTAGCTTGCCTTGTTTGGAGGGTCACTCAAGGCAGAAGCTGAGAATCACAGATGAATCTGTACATATACCTAGACAGGCTAACTTACATTTATTATACCAGGAATATGGTGTGATTTTGGACAAAAGGTAAAAAATGTCTCCAATGCCAACTACATAAACGTAATACACAAAAAAAGCATCATAAGCTATAGAGGATTGCTAGACTGTATCCTTACTCTTGCTTCACATCAAACAAATTCCAGTATGAATAAAAGTGTAGTATCACAACATGAAAATGTAAGAGTTCCATAAGAACATATGGGGAGCTGGGTACAAAGGCTCACACTTGTAATTCCAGCTCTTCAGAAGGGAGAAATTGGGAGAATTGCAGTTTAAGACCAGCCATGTCATAAAGCTAATGAGGTTCCCATTTCAAGAAACAAACTAGGCATGCATACAACTACACAAGAGTCATAGAAGAATCAGTCTGTGGTAAGCCTATGTAAAAAGCATGAGATTCTATCTGAAATATACGAAAGGCTAGAGGTATGGCTCAAGTGGAAGAAAAAGGCTCCAAGTTCAAACTCTAGTAACAAACAAAGCAAAATACAACAAAGAAAAAAATATGTAAAACAAGATTTTAATAAAATTAGGGTAAAAAACTAATTTCAATCAAAACTCAAAAGTTCACAAGTCATATTACAAGAGATTCATTTGTCTAGGCTATTCCACTCACACAAATTTATCTTGCAGATATATATTTACATATAGATATAGTCACCTATGTACCAGGTCATAATAAAAAGAAACAAATGGCAGATTGAAAAATGAGATAAATGTCCATTGATAAAGACTGAATGAATTATGGTTCTCCCACACAATGGAATAGTACATAGCTATGAAAATGGCTGAAGATAACTTACATGTCAATGTTAGTAACTTTATTATTTTTTTTTTTGGGTCCGGTCATGGGGCCTGAACTCTGGGCCTGGGCGCTGTCCCTCAGCTCTTCAGCTCAAAGCTAACACTCTACCACTTGAGCCACAGCGCCACTTCTGACATTTTTTTTTTCCTGCTTATGTGGTGCTGAGGAATTGAACCAAGGGCCTCATGCATGCAAGGCAAGGGCTCCACCACTAAGCCACCTTCCCAGCCCTGTAAGTAACTTTATTGAATATGCTGTTAACTGAAACCATTACCATGTAATATAGTAGTACTATGTAATGGTTTCCCTTATAAAAAAGGGAGCTCTATATTTTCATTTTTATATACAGATAGAAGTGATTTCTGGAAAAATCTAAAGAAATTTATGTGGTTCTCAAAGGTAGGAAACAACTGAATTCTGCTGAATTCTTCCTCCCACCCCACCCATCTCTCCTATGAATTCTACCTTCACATCTGCCTGGCAAGAAGTATAAACATGACTCAAATAAAGTCACATAGATAACCTGTCTCCTTTGGCAAGATATAGACTAAGAAAAATAGAAGCCTGGAAAGGGAAGAATTTTGCTATCATTTTATATCTTTTGATGTAGCAATTACTTTTTAGAATGTACATGAAGCCCATAACAAAAAGTAAATGTAAAAAGAATAGATTAAAACAGAATAGAAAATATCTCATATAAAGCAATACTGAGGTAAATCTTACCTTTCTCGGCAAAATTTAAGTGAATGTAATATGGCAGGCCTTTTCTGACGTAAATTCCATAAGTGTAAGGTGTCATCAGCCAATGCACTCACAAGTGCGCCCTTGAAAACAAAGAATATATCATGTATGACATAGTTTATAAGCACTGGTAGTTCATTTCGCTGCCAGAACACTATCTCAGATTTCAAGTCAGTGCCAAGATGTTTATTTCTAAGGAACATTTATCCAAATTTGACAAAGAAGATAGAACAATGTATTATATATGTGTAAAAATGCTTTAATGTTTTCAATAACCTAAAATATAATTTAATATCTAAGAAACCGAAAGTATACTAGGATCTGTGAGATGGTATGGTTGAGATAGCTATTTAAGATAATAAATTACATGATCAATAATGGACATATTTTTTGACTAAAGCAAAATGATCTCAAGTTTAATTTATATAAGACAAATTATAATAAAAGATTAATACCCATTGGCTATATTGAAGAAAACTGACATTAGATCCTGCACCAAAATCAACCCCAAATTGATCAAAGATGTCATTTTAAGACCAGATAACCTAAAAATAGAACAGGAAGGGATAGAAACAACACTCCTTGGAACAGGTCAAAACTTCCTAAGTGGGGCTGGGAAGGTGGCTCAGTGGTAGAGCGCTTGCCTTGCATGCATGAGGCCCTGGATTCAATTTCTCAGCACCACATAAGCAAAAAGAAAAAAGCCGAAGTGGTGCTGTGGCTCAAGTGGTAGAGCGCTAGCCTTGAGCTGAAGAGCTGAGGGACAGCGCCCAGGCCCAGAGTTCAGGCCCCATGACTGGACCCAAAAAAATCAAACAAAAAAAAACTTCCTAAGTAAAAATCTAGAATCACAAAAAATCAAAGAAAACACTAGAGAAATAGGATGCATCAAACTGAAGAGTTTCTGCATGGTAAAGGACATATCTAGCAAGATAAATACAAAGTCCATAGAATGAGAGAAGATTCTTTTACCAGCTATGCATCAGACAAATGTCTCATATCTAAAATACACTTAGAACTCAAAAATATTAACCCCACAAAAAACAAACTCTCAAATATACAACAACCCAATTAATAAAAGGGCTAAAGACTTAAAGAGAGACTTTTCTGAAGAAGAAATAAGAATGGCAATGGACACACAAAGAAATATTTGACATCTCTGGCCATAAAAGAAATGTAGATCTGCTGGGTGCCAATGGCTCACACCATAATCCTAGTTACTCAGGAGGCTGAGATCTGAGGATCACGGTTCAAAGCCAGCCTGGGCAAGAAAGTCCATGAGACTCGTATCTCCAATAAACCATTAGAAAACCGGAAGTGGTACTATGGCTCAAGCGGTAGAGCGCTGGCCTTGAGCTGAAGAGCTGAGGGACAGTGCCCAAGCCCAGAGCTCAAGCCCCATGAGGACAGAAAGAAAGAAGGAAGGAAGAAATGAAAGAAAGGAAGGAAGGAAGGAAGGAAGGAGAGAGAAAGGAAGAGAGAAAGGAAGGGAGAGAGAGAGAAAGTGAGAGAGAGGGGGGAAGGAAGGAAGGAAGGAAGGAAGGAAGGAAGGAAGGAAGGAAGGAAGGAAGGAAGGAAGGAAGGAAGGAAGGAAGGAAGGAAAGAAGGAGGGAAGGAGGGAAGGAAGGAAGGTCTATACCACATTGAGATTCTACCTCACCCCAGTTAGAATGCTCATCATCAAGAAACAATAACAGATGCTGGCAGGGATGTGGCCAAAAGGGAACCCTACTACAATGTTGTTGGAAATGTAACATTGTTCAACCACTTTGGAAAGTAGTAAGAGTTTCCTCAAAAGATTAAACACGGAGCTTCCCTATGACCCAGCACTCCCACTTCTGGGCATTTACCAAATGACCACAAACCATACTACACTAAAGCCACCAGTACAACCCTGTTCATTACAGCATTGTTTACCATAGCCAAGATATGGAATCAATCCAGATGCCTCTCAATAGACAAATGGGTCAAGAAAATGTGGTATATATATATATACATATATATATATGCAATATGCACATTCTTTCCATCAAAAAGAATGACATTGCCCCATTCATAAGGAAATGGAAAGACTTAGAAAAAAAATGATACTAAACAAAGTAAGCCAGACTTAAAGGCTACATGGTTTCCCTCATTTGTAGTAATTAGAATGTGCCTATAAATCTTCAAGTAAAACCTAAGGATAAAAGACAGATAATTACACCTGTACAGGATTAATTAAACAGCAGGATATCCCTTAGGAAGGATCACAATGACTCAAAAGCGATGTATATATGATCATATAAAATGATGATTATTGCCAGGTGCTGGTCGCTCACACCTGTGATCCTAGCTACTCAGGAGCCTGAGAACTGAGGATTGCTGTTCAAAGCCAGCCTGGGCAGGTAAGTCCACGAGACTCTCATCTCCAATTAACCACCAAAAAAAACAAAAGCAGAGTTGTGGCTAAAAGTGGTAGAGTACTCGCCCTGAGCTAAAGAGTTGAGGGACAGCACACAGGCCCAGAGCTCAAGCCCCACAACAGACAAAAAAATAAAAAATAAATGATAATTATCAAAATGAACTCCAAGAAATAGAAGCAAGAGATTTTTTTTTAATTGTGCTGTTTGCAGGTTTTTTTCTTTTCTTCTTTCCTTTTTTTCTTTGGTTTATTCCCTTCTGTTGATATATATGATTTCTGTACCCTTTGTCTTGTATATAAATTTATCCGATTTGGGGAGGAGAAGGGGAAGCACAAAAACAGTGAGACAACAGGTGAACCAGTTCAGCAGTGAAACCCACTAGATATTATGTTGGAAATGAACTATATGGCTTTGGGAGGAGAGAAGTTGGGAAGAGAAAAACTGAAGAGAATGAGGGAGGGGGTGACATTGTTTGAACAGAAATGCATTCATTACCTGATTCATGTAACTGTAATCCCTCTGTGTACATCAGCATTACAATACATTTTTAAAAAGATTAATATCTATATTTTCTTCCAACTACTAGAGAACAAAGGTAGCATCTGGCATATTGTAACTTAGTGTCTGAGTAGTTGGGATATCTAATTTAGAAAGTAAAAAACACCTGATACTATTAAATACTATTATTCATGAAGAAGAAAATTGCCAGATGTAGGGAGAGTCATTAAGGTAGCTCTGTCTCACCAGACACAACAAATCAGAATTTTTAGAGCAAGGATCTATGCAGGTGAAATTTTTATTATCTCAAGAGGTGCTTGTGATATGTAAGATGAAGAATCTCTTGGCTAAGAGTTGACTTATTAAGATATCTAAATGGTTTTTTTCTCAAAAGAGTGCTAAGGTACCCTTTATCTAGACTCAGAGAAGACTAGGACAAGAGCTAAAGCACGAAGAATTTGTTTTAATTTCAAAAAAGATTTAAAAAATCTAACCCTTTAAATTATTATGAAAAATGTTAAAAATGTTTTAAATAGTTGTTCATTTCTCCAGGAAGATTAAAGTAGTTGTTTAAGTAAGATTTACATGATTTCTCCAAGTTGTACAAAGTTCTCCATGGACTTCTCTACTTTGTAGCCATTTTGCTATACAACATAGCAACTGGAGCAGAAATAGACAAAGTCCCCCTACACACTCTTTTTCACTAGGAAGTAGTCTATTATGTCTGTTTTCCTCTTATGGAAAACCAATATAGTAAAATGTTATTTGGATCACAATTTTACTTAATTTGTTCTTATAATTATCATTAGCATTTTACACTAATAGTGCCTTTCTTAAATCCTGATGTGAAGACTTATCAAAAGCTAGAAGTATTCAGTATTTCCTCATATGCCTATGAGTTTATTTCATGAATCTTAAGGATTTGGAATAAAAATCATTTTCACAACTATCCTCATACAGAAAGAGAGACTTTTTCTTGAGTACTCTGTCTTCCTTCTTTGACCAGCTATCCACACCTGTCATTACTTGCGATAAACATCTATGTGTGTATGTATATATCATTTATTATTAAGCAGGAGTACAAAGAATTTATAATTCTATGTCAGGTTAGGAGTAAAATGCATCTTGATCAATGCTATCCCTTCCATCGTTATCCCTGAGTACATATATTTAAAATCTGTAAGCACATTGTTTCCTGTGCTAATGAAATAATGTTTCTTAAAGCTCTGTCTATACTTCACATTTTTAGCAAAAAGAAAAGAATCAGTGACTTGAACCATAATCACAACCTTTGTTGTGAAGCAGTAGTCATTTGAAGCACTAGTCATTTTCTAATAGAAGCTGGTTTCCTGGTTGTAGATTAAAGCAATTCACTAAAATGCATTCTGTAACCTATATTAAGTTCAATTTCTAATAAAATTGTACTATAGACCTATATAAATTTCAACATCCCTGAAATAAAGCATCTAGTACCAAAAATATTTACCTTATATCATTCTGTTTGCAAAACTGTTTAAAGAAAATGTAATACAACTCTTTGTGATGTCTTAAAATGAATTACTATTATCTCTGACCCAGAAGTAATTATCTTTTGTTCAAATATTTAAATATGACTGCATGAAAGAAATCTGAGAGGAGACATGGCCCAATTTCAGCTCCAAGCAGAGAGAAGAAAACAATTCGCTTACCTCATTAATCAGGAACTGGAGCTGGATCACTGCAGCTCCGCTGTCATGCTGGCAGTAACATTCTACTCCTGGACGACCAAAACTGTTAAAGTTCTATTAAGGAGTTTATGGTATGTATGGGCATTTCATTAAAGAAACATATAAGTTATGTAAAGAATAAATATTCCAGTGATATGATTCTCAATTCAGGACACTTACTTAAGTTGAAATTTAATTAGCTCTCTCACACATAAACAAAAGTAAGTTTTTGGTGAAAATCAGAAGTCTGTAAGACAAAAACTGTTCTTCCTACAACAACTGAAATATTAAAATCAGTAATATATAAAAAGGTAGCATTACTTTGACTCAATGTAAGCAGTGTATCCTATGCTAATAAAATGGTGTTTCTTCTAGTGATTGAACCAATAAGAAACACAACTGGAGGCAGGAATCATTTAATATACTCTACTTTGTTAATACTTTAACTTTATTTAGAGTTAATATACTGTATTAAGTCTCAAACTGTTTTCTCTTATGAAAAAGGAAAAAAGGTAGCTGACCTGCAGAGCATCTAATTTTGTCCACATCAGTAACTAACAAACCCAAGAAGTAGGCAAATGTCATTTCAGAATACTGTTTTTAGAAAGTCTGCTTATTGTCACTTTTCACTGTTGCAATATATTTTAACGTAAGCCAACAATATAATGAAGAGAAACAGGAGTATTCCAAGATTTTAAACAGGCCTTAATATCAATTAATATCAAATAGTCATATCATCTCTTCATGAATCAAGCACTATTATAAATGATATAAATTAACTCAATCCTCAAAAATCTGTGAATGTTATTATTCCCAGTAGCAGAGATGAAGCTGAACATGCATTCTGGCTCCAGAATCCACTCTCTTGTTTTTGGTGTTTGTTGTTGTCTGTGTGTGTTGTAGGGCTTGAACTCAGGACCTGGGCTCTGTTTTTTGCTCAAGGCTATTGCTCTACCACTTTATGTTCTAGCCACTTCTATTTTTCTGGTGGATAACTGGAGATAAAAGTCTCACAGCTGGTGGCTCAAGTCTATAATCCTTGCTTCTCAGAAGGCTGAGATCTGAGGAACATGGTTCAAAGCCTGTGAGACTCTTATCTCCAATTAACTACCAGAAAACTGTAAGTAGCGTTAGGCTCAAAGTGGTAGAGTGCTAGTTTTGAGTGGAAAAAGCTCAAGGACTGCACCCAGGTCCTGAGTTCAAGCTTCAAGACCAACAACAATAATAGAGTCTCATGGCATTTCCTGCTGGGGCTGGCTTTGAAGCTCAAACCTCACATTTCAGTTTCCTAAGCAGCTAGGATTACAGGTGTGACCCACTGGCCCCCACCTAAGATGGTGTTTCTTTTTAATTTTTCAGTGTTGAGGACTGAACCCAGGACCTCATGCATGCTAAGCATACACTCTACTACTGAAATACATCCCCAGACCTGCTCTCTTAAAAAGTATGTGGAGTAAAGAGCAAAACATATATACAATTCTCTGTGTATCACACACTATCATATGTATCTTGTCATAAATTTGAAATAAGATAATCATTCTAACATTTTGCCATTCCAATTGTTCCATTATTGGAACAATTCTTTACAACAGTGAAATATTATCATTCATCTGTGAAATCCTATGGAATCTAAACCACCAAGCGAAACCTTAATGTAAGCCATAGACTAGGAGAAAAATGATATGGCAATGTGGATTCATTCATTGTAATAAAACCATCCTGATGAGTGAGGCTGATAAATGCCAAAGACTATGGCCATAGGGGCAGGGAATACATGGAAATTCTCAACTTGAAACAGTTCATAAAAAGTTTGTTGGAAAAAAATAACATACTAACAAATAGTCACATCTTCAAGATGATAGGGTGGGTAGACTTCGTTTTTTTCTGCTGATGCTAATCTGTCATTTAAGTCAAACTATAAAGTATTATTTCTGCAGAAATATATAAAATGCTTAAAAGAAAAATGAAAGATTCATAGGTAAAACATTTGAGGCTTCTCTTGATGTAATACAATTTAACAATTTAGAAAAGATTCAGCAATATCTGAAAATTAGGCTAAGTGCTTTCTTTTAATGTGAATAAAACAAGCATTGCAGCAATAGAGTAACTGCAGCACCTAGTTGTACAGTCACAATGTAGCAGGACTGCACCGGACCTTTAGTTCCCTTTAGTTCCCTTTCCACTATCACTCTCTTTTAACTTGTGCCAATACTTGAGGCTTGAACTCAGGGCCTGAGCACTGTCCCTGGAATTTTCTGTTGTTCTTGTTCAAGGCTAGTGCTGTACCATTTGAGTCAAGTTCTCATTCCAGTTTTTGGTAGTTAACTGGATATAAGCGTCTCATGGCTTTTCCTGCCCAGGCTGGCTTTGAACCATGATTTTTAGATCTCAGCCTGAGTAACTAGTAGCTTCCAGTACCACCTGAGGTAAATTTTTTTTTTTAATTTATAAACCACTTTGAGTGGGTGAATATGCTCATTTTCATTATTCACTGTTTTGAGGATTATTTCTATAGAGGTTAAAATGAGTTATATTTTTGTCACATGTAATACTTTAGAACAGCTTTTAATATACTTTTATACTTTTAAATGAGCTGCTTATTCAGTGTACTATGAAATGAAATCATGAATAGTGGTCTTGGTTAAATGAACAAGAAGAAATGTATATTCTCACATAGAAGTAAAAGCAGTCTTTTGTCCTAGCATTCACTCTCAGCTATCTAATGGCTAAGTACAGTCGTCACACACTGTATCATGGGATTTTGCGGTATGTAGGTATTTATATATTTATGACTTTGTTTTTGCCTAAAAAAATTAAAACTATAAAAATATGACAGTGTTAATTAAAAGTTAGTAAGCGTGTGGGAAACGTTTATAGGAGAATGGGAAGGGTTGATAAAGCCTTAAAAATATATATATATATATAAATAATAAATATAACGCTGCTACTTCACATATTTTCACCTATTGTGGGGGTCTCTGGAACATAACTCCTACCATAGTTGAGAGGTTTCTGAATCTAAAGGTGGAAATTCTTTTAAAAGTACAACACGTGATGAAAAATATAGTACAAAGACACAATAGACAGAAAAAAGGTTTTAAAACTTTCCTTTTCAAAAGACTAAAAGGGAAAAAAAAACACATAAAGGAAAGCAACTTAGCTTAAAGTACTACCGGGGCTGGTGCCTCCAGATTTATGGTGACCTCTGGCAGAGAACTGCTGTTAAAAACCAGAGGTACTGCTCTTACAAGGAAAGATTTGTACTTTGAAGAAAGGGTAGGATTAATCACTCAAAAGACAAACTCGCCAGGGGTGGAAGGAATCTAAAGATGCACTTTTTAAATGGGAAGAAACACAAAATTATAAAAATGCCTTCAACTAAAAAAACACACAACTATTTCAAATAAATATTATGAAAACCAAAACTACCAGCTAGTTTTCATTTAAAAATATTTCCTTGGGAGAGTTAGGAAAGAGTGACATTGTCCAAAATGAAATTGTGCTTATTTACCTGACTTGCATAACTGTAAAGCCTCTGTACATCACCTTCTTAAGAATAAAAAAAAATTTAAAAAAATTACCTCTAGCCCCCATTTTAAGGGAATCTAAGTTTTTCTCAATGAGTACTTCTTTTAATTTATAGCATCAATATATTAAAAATTATGCTGCTATTAATTTGTCATGTATATGATGTATATACACATCTACATATATACGTACACATACATGCATGTTTCCAAAATGATTAACACTAGTTGGAGCAGTAACAGCTGAACAGACCTATGTATTTATTATTACTGTAAAATAATGCAAGCAGAGGGCAGTTTTAAAGCTTTTAAAGGATATATAACTTCAGTTTCCAATTAAAGTACCATATGCAGCATATGCATTCTTCCATGAAGGAGCTTATCATTTATCTGATTCTAAAGCAAGTAACCAAGCAACTGAACTTGTTTGTAAGACACTTGTAAGTTTGGCTGTTTTTTGTTTGTTTGTTTTTAAATCTTACTCATTCTTCAGGTTGTTTGGTTTCATAAGTTAAAGAATTATTTTGAAGAAAGTGTATACATACCTAACAAGTCAAAATATTACAGTCAAGTGCTTTTATTCACTTATATCTTTAACTGTATCTATCTAAATGAAAATACACATATCTATATGAGAGAAAGTATTAAGAAAAAGCTATAAACTCAAATATATTTTAATTACAATTAGGAAACAAAGGTCTAAAACAAATGGAACATTCCATTAAAGAATTGATCACTGGGCTGGGAGGGTGGCTCAGTGGTAGAGCGCTTGCCTTGCATGCATGAGGCCCTGGGTTCGATTCCTCAGCACCACATAAGCAGAAAAAAAAAGCCGAAAGTGGCTCTGTGGCTCAAGTGGTAGAGCACTAGCCTTGAGCTGAAGAGCTGAGGGACAGCACCCAGGCCTAGACTTCAGGCCCATGACCGGACCCAAAAAACAAAACAACAAGAATTGATCACTGAGTATCTTAACTATTATATGTATGGGTAATGCCTTCTCACAGAAAAAAAAAAAAAAACAGGCAAAAATTCAACTTTCAATATAATTAATCCATATTACTGATAATGAATTGACATGATATGAATTACCTGTAATCCTAAAAATGCTTTTTTATTTATAACTGATATAACACAAGTATAATTTATGAAACTTATTAAAATGTAATTAGTAATGCTTTCCTGAGCACTGCACTCTACAAAGATTTTATACCAAAGTGAAGACTGGAAAACTTTGGCTATCATCAAATCCAGCCTTCCAATTGATTTTGAAAAGACAGTTTTATTGACACTCCTTTACAAACACTGTCTATGGTTGTCAGTGTGTTCTCTATAGGCAGAGTTTAATAGTTGTCAGTGATCATAGCACCTAAAATAATTATTTAGTCTTTTACAGAAAACATTTGATTCCTAAATTGAGATGGTATTTTAAATGTGTACACACACAAATACATCCACATAGTCACATACATCTCCTACGTAACCTTTATTAGAGAACATGTAAAGTTGACCATTAGGAATCTATATGTTTCCTGGATCT